ATCGATCGATCAATCAATTTTGTTGGTCAATCGATCCAATTGATGATCACATTACATGTGATTTGATTAAACACACACAATAAGATGGCAATTAAATTATGACAGAAAAAAAATCCAAAAAAACAAAAATTTTTTTTCCACAAAATGACAATTTTGTTTGACATTTTAGTTACATTGTTACTGAGTTTAGAGTTTCTGTCTACATCTGTCTGTCTTGTTGTATTGGATAAACTGATTTTTTTTTTATTATTATTTCGTTGTTGTTGATAATGACACGAATTTATTTTTTTTTCACATTACATGTGATTTGATTAAACACACACAATAAGATGGCAATTAAATTATGACAGAAAAAAAATCCAAAAACAAAAATTTTTTTTTCCACAAAATTTCTCTGTACGTTGTTGTTGATAATGACACGAATTTATTTTTTCTCTGTCGTTGTTGTTGTGTGAAGCCTGAATTTATTTTCTCTATTAAAAAACCTTATTATATAAAGTATATATGGCCCAAAAATATCAAGATTTAGGATTTTTTTTGATCTAAATCTAAATTGGTGGTGATGGTGGTGGCCAATTTCCCTTGAATTTTACGTCCTTTTGAACTTTTTTTTCCCTTTTATTTCATTCATTTTTTTTTCTGAAACAAACAAAATTATAGAGTACATTTTTGTTGTTGTTTTTTTTTTATTTGTCAAGACAAGCAAATTATGACACATTTGAAATGCATCCAACCTGTTGATTTTTGTCTTTTTGTTTTTTTTTTTTGAATCTTAATTTTTTTCACCGAAAAAAACCACACAATCAAAACATCATTTTTAAAGTCAATTTCAGCATTGTGATGAGAATCACTGTGCGGTTAATTTACAGTTTAAAATTTAAATATTTTTTTTTTTTTGCATAAAAAATTGATGATAATATTCAACATGTGAATGTAAATCATCATTTTTCGGTTAATCATCTAATTATGTGCACATTAAATGTTCAAAAAAAAAGTTTTTGATGTATGGATCACCATTACATCGTTGTTGTTGTTGTTGCTTCGCAGTTGTATCCATATGATTCAATTACAAAGATATATTATCCATTGTGAATATAAAACACAAAACAAAAAAAAATTGACATCAATTTGAACAGCACATTTAACCGGTAGTGAATATTGTTGTTGTTGTTGTTGTTGTTAGTGGCCGTAAATTTTTTTTTTTTTTTTGTTGTACCAAGATTAGAGATCATTGTTAGAAGATGTTCATTTTTTTTTTTTTTGATAATAATGATGATGATTAGTCCTTAGTAGATACATTGTATTGCATCCTTGATCGTGCTTAGTACAACAACAACAACAACAACAACAACAACAACAATAATAATAATAATAATAATGATGATGATGATGACCGATACACGTGCAAACACGTGTCTTTAGCACTTTTTTGTTCTTCTTTTTTTTCTCCCCATTATGTTAAAGAAAAACCATTTAATAAATGGTCAAATGTTGTAGTTTTGTTTGTTACAATGTTCAACTTGAAACAATAAGAATCCACCGCCTCCGAGCCCCCAAAAAGCTTGACAGTTTGATGATATTTTCAACAAAAGAAAAAAAAATCAAATGACTTATTGAATTCTTGAATAAATCTAATCATAGACGAAAAAAAAACAATTCATCCATTCATTAGTATCAATCCAGATTCGATTGATTACGGAAGTTTATCATGTCTGTCTGTCTGTTGTTTCTAATGATGTAATACAATAAATATTTAGCTCATCATAATCATAAGTTTTCCAGCTCATTGATTTGCAAACAAAAACAGCACACACACACATGCAACACAATGCTATTTCCGATTTGAATTAATAATCTAGAGAGAAATTGCACTTACAATAATCAAAAACACGATCGTAAAGATAATCATCAATCGATTGGTTTAATCATTGATTGAATGATTTAATTATAATAATAATAATACTTGGATTGTCAAAGTTTTATGCTTTCATGCAGATTTCCTAAATCGTCATATTGTTGACAAACAAACAAACAAACAAAAAAATTATTGATCAGGATCGATTAATAATTTTTTTGTTTCTTCTTAGTTGGTTGTTAATTGTTAAAGTAGAAACCCTGAAACGAAATTTTTCCATTATTATTGTCAATCAATTAAATTGGATCAAATCGAACCTTATTCAGGGCTTGAAAAAAATGACAGATTAAAAATCAAAAAAAAAAAACACAGTGATGATAATAGCGTCTGGAAAGTCAGGATTTTTCTTACAGCCATCATTTTTTTTTTCGTTTCCTTAATCAAGTTGTCACATAATTATCATCATAAACAGACAGATGAATACAATTTATTCGCCGAAAAAAAAATCAAAATCGATTATCGTCAATTCAATTTAATGATTGTCCATTAGTCCACACAAGTGTTTCCATTTTCATCATCGAGATCATTTTGGTTGTGTTGGATTTTGTTTTCAATTTTCTTTTTTTTTTTTTCCCCATCAATCAAATCTATCGAACGTGTGAATACAATTTGAATTTAATAGATAAAAATAATCAACAAAAAAAAGCAATAATTTCCAATCACACCAGTTTCAATCGAATTCAAATTGATTTATTGCCTCAAGGTCTTTAATGATGAAAAATGATGATGATGATGACGATGGGACCAGGCTCTAAATTGTTGTTGATAATGGATCAAAAGGATTGAATTGTTACAATCATCATTAAATTTAATCAATGATGATACTATTTAAATAATATGGATCGATGGATCGATTTTATTTATATTTGATATAAGGAAGATAGATTTGATTCGAAAAATTAAATAGAAACAATCTGGGCTATTTTCACACAACTGGTTTGACTCAATGATAATATTTTTGCTTTGTTTTGTTTTTGCTTCTGGACTTTAAACAAAAACAACAAATCAATAAAGAAAATCAGAAGCACCCAATAATGATAATAATAAAAAAATTTATACAACATTTTTTCGGGTAACGTAATCATGATATACCGGAAGCTTCTGGAAATTTTTGTTTTCAATGATTAATTTCTTTTTGTTTTCATCATATATGATGAATGATAATAATACTAAAACATTTCCGGAATATTTATTATCAGTAAGTTGTTGTTGGTGACCCAAAGCCAAGTTCATCATCATCATCATCATCATCTTCATCGATGTTATGATGATGTAATAATTGAATGATTATCGATCGAAAAAAAAGTGGACGATGAAAAAAAAACTGTGGCCAATTCGTGATGAATGTGTGTGTGTGTGTGTATGTGTGTGTGCAGCAACAACAATCCATTTCAATTGATTTTTTTCTATGGGATGGTCAGATCATGATATTTTTTTCGTTCATTTCAATGTAGGATGTGATACATTGGACATTCACTTTTTCGTTCCAAATGCTACTGTTTTTTTTTTTGCCGATTGATCGAATCAAAATCCAGATTTTTTCAATATTGAAGCCATTGATTTTTTTTTTTTTTTTTTTTTTTTTGGGTGTAGCAATTTCAGATGATTTGTTTGTCCGCACAAGACAGAAAACTTGTTTGCAATTAATTTTCATTTTCATTTTTATTTCACCGATATTAATCTTTCCATTTTTTTACCATTTGGATTTTCTTGATTTCTTACAAATCAATTTGATCAATAACGGATGTTGATAATCTGATTTATATATATAAAAAAAGTGAGGAAAAATTTGTGCGCTTAGGTGATGAAAAAAAATCGAAGAAGAAATTTTAAATCACGAATAAACTTGCGAATATATATAATAAGCTGATCCATTGGCTATATTCATTGTTTATTGATTCGATTTTTTGTTTTCTGTTGATCAAATGTTGACACATTTGATGTATTGGATGAACATGGACAACAAACAACAAACAACAACGTGTAACAACAAACAAACGATAATCGTGATATAGAAAAAATCTTTGATGCCATCAGATTTTGGTCAAAATATCAACATTATGTCTCCATGTTTTCATCATCATTAAGATTTTATGATAATGATGATGATGATGATGATGAAAATCAAGTAAACAAAAAAAACAAGCCATGGTACAGCATTTTTAATCAAATCAATTTTCAATTTATTGATTGTTTCATGATTATCATAATGGCAACGATGAACTTTGAATGTATGAACTGAGAGAGTGAAAAAAAAATTAATTTTAATGATGATGATTTTTATTTCACGAAAAAAAAATCCTAGGCTGAGCAATGGATTTGATTGTGGTTGGTTTTTTTTTTTTTTTTGGCTGGTCACAGAGTTGACACCAGTAGTTTGTCATTTTTGCATTCATCCATGATCCAGGTCTTGTTTTTTTTTTTTTTTCGTTAATTGAAGATTTAGAAATGAAATGAATTTTTGTTTGTTTGTTTGTCCAGTCCAGTCTTATCTTGAAATTTTGAAGAAAAAGAAAAAAATTTGCAAAGATGAAATGGTGACAGGTTAATACTGTAATAATGTGACCTTAACCTGAAATAGGATTTTTTCAATCAGACGACAAACTTTGAAATCAAAGAGTTTTTTTTTACTGAAAAAGAAGAAGAAGAAGAGAAAATGACTGATTGTCTGATTTGATGATTAATTTGAAATTTTTTTTTCGGGATTTTCTTCAGATCTTGATGATGATGATGGTGGTAAATTTGTACCCAGAAATGATGTTGTTCCAAGAAAATGAATTTATCCAAAAATAGCTGCCGCCAGATCATTGCTTCCTGATTCGATTTCAGAATTTTTTTTTTTTTTTTTTTTGGTTTCATTTAATTAGTGAATTTATTATTAATTTCAACAACAATTTAAATTTGTCAATTTAAAATTTTAAACGTTCAATCTCGAATCGAATGAATTGTTTTATTTGATGTTCGAAATTTTTTTAGTGAGCAAAAAATGAAACCAAAACAACGACCTCGTAGTAAAAGACATTCATCATCATCATCATCGTCGTCATCATCGTCATCATCATCATCATCGACAACAACAACAATAATGTCGCCTAGAAAAGTGCAATTACAAGAACCAAATTTTGATTATCTATATGAATATTATAAAAAATATAATAAAAATACTAGACAAGCAGTAGCCATTAATAATAATAATAATTATAATTATAATGATAAAAATAATAATCCAAAATCACCAGCAACAAAACAATCAGAATCAGAATCATTGATTGGAAAATATATTGGAAATTCTAATTATATGGTTGTAAAATATCTTGGTGGTGGTTCATTTGGTAATCTTTATTTGGGACAACATAGAGAACAACGTTCAACGGTTGCCATTAAAATTGAAAAAGGTGATTGTGATAAGCCACAATTGTTTCTGGAATATCGTTTCTATAAAAAATTATCAAATATAATTCGTGGTGTACCGAAAATCTATACATTTGGCCCAATCGATGATGGCCGTTGGAATGCATTAGTGATGGAATTATTGGGTCCAAGTTTAGAGAAAATGTTTGAAAATTGTGGTGGCCGTTTTTCGTTACGTACAGTTATACAATTGACCATACAGATGATACATTTATTTCGTAATATACATGAATCCGGTATATTATATCGTGATACGAAACCGGCAAATTTTTTACTTGGACAACCAAATTCAGGAAAATGGTGGCTAGTACATGTTGTTGATCTTGGTTTCTGCAAAGAATGGCGTCGTGAAGATGGATCACATATTATTTATCAAGAGAATAAACCATTTACCGGTACTGTACGTTATATGAGTATTAATAATAATTTTGGCCGTGAACAATCACGTCGTGATGATCTTGAAGCATTGGTTTATATGTTAATATATTTTTATAAAGGACGATTACCATGGCAAGGTATTGTTGCAAATTCAATTATTGAACGTTATCGTTTAATTGCACAATGTAAAATGAATACACCAATAACAACATTATGTTCGGATATGCCAGAAGAATTTACATTATTATTACAATCAATACGTTCATTACATTTTGAAGAAAGACCAAGTTATAGTGGATTATTGACACCATTTTTCCAATTATTAGCACGTGATTTTGCATTAGAAATGAATGATCGTGTTTATGATTGGACAATGTCACAGGAAATTAAATCACCAATTTTACGTTTTATGCAACAAAAACAACAACAACAACAACAACAGCAGCAACAACAACAACAACAACAACGACAACAATCACCATATGATAATATAGAACAATCAGTATCATATTCGACAACAAAAACAACAACAGCAACAACAATGAAAAATATACGTCGAAAATCAATAAAAACAATGAAAACAATGTCACCAAGTAATAGAATGAAATTGGTAAATACAAAATTTAGTAATAATAATGATAATGATGATGATAATAATGTTGTTGGTGGTTGTATTGATAATGATCAAAATCTAATCGATAAACAATCATTCATATCATCATCATCACCACCAACATTACCACAACCATTATCATTGAATCCAAATGAATATACGACAATCATACGTAATAATAATAATAATAATGATGATAATAATAATAATAATCAGATGGATCAAACAACAACGGAAAAATCATCATCATCATCATCAAATTCATCATCGGCTATACATAGAAAATTCTACGATTCATAATCATAAAACAAACAACACACCCCTTCCTTACACAGCAGTTGCACACCTTACACACACACACACACACACACACAGACCAAACTTTTTTTTAAAAAATAAAATTTTTGAAATAATTATGATAAATGAATGAGTGGGGAATAATAAAGGTTCGGGGTGAATAATTATCACCATTTAAAACCGGATGTGTGGACAACATATACAAATTTTAATCATTAAAAAAAATGTTCCTGGATCACCCATCCCATCATCATCATCATCATAATATTATGGTCAAATAGATTTCTTTCTGTATCGTTTGGCTATTTTTAGGGTTTTTAGAGAAAATAAAAAAAATGATTCGATATCCGATGATTTTTTTTTATATATTTCGATTTTCAAGCCACTAGCCCGGCGACTTTGTAAAATGACCACCATATGAGCCAATCAGCCATAATCATGAAATGAATTATCCAAAATTAGAAATGAAATTTTTTTTTCTGGAAATTACAGAAAAAAAAACACAAAAATTTCGTTTAATGATGATGATTATGGTGTGGAGAAGAAAAAAAAGTTCATTTCAATCCAGATTAAATCCAATGGTGTTTTTTTGATTGGATCATCATCATCATCATCATCTTGAAGCAATTTGAAAGCGTTTAAATTTAGTAGGTAGCCAGAAACAAAAATGAAGCAATAGCAATGGAAATAATTTACACCATTTTTTGGTGATGATGATGATGATCGACCAAAACCGAAAATCGAATGCGGAAAATAGTTTACCACCAAACAAGATCGTTCGGTTCATTATTATCTATAATTATATGTATCAGATTCGAAACGATTTTTTTTCTTTCTTTCTTTCGCAAAAAATTTCAAACATTTTTGTCACTAAAATTCAGATTTTGTCTCGTGACACACACACACAGTTAGACTCAGAATTATATTTCTACATCAGTTTCATTCATAGACGATGTGATCGTCATAATAATAATAATAATTCGATTTATTATTTCGATTCAATAAAATCAAATCAAATCAATTAAATTAATTATTTGTTGAAAAAACACACAATTCAATACCATTTAAAATGGAAAATATTCTATCGTTTGCAATTCATTCGAATTCGGTTGTTTGTTTATTCTGTTTTTTGTGATATATATTCCTATTATATTGTGACTGTTCAATTTTATATTTCTTTCGCATTTTTTTTTTTTTTTGCTGTGGTTGTTCTCCCGAAAACTTATTGTATTTGCCACACACACAATGATACTGGAATCTGCCGAAGATATGACCAATAGTACGGAAAATGAAATGATGAACAATTCAAGTACAATATCATCGTTTACATTTGAAAATGAAATATCGGAAACTTTCACCGATGGTGGTGGCAGTGGCGGTGGCGGTGGTATTGATGGTGGTGTTGATGCTGGTGCTGGCCAGAACGATGGTTCATCAATCGATTTTAGAATGATTAGTGCTATCATTACTATTGTTGCACTGTTAATCATTGGTGGTTGGGCATTAAAATCTCGTTTTTCAAAAAAACGAAAATCTCCCGGTTCATCAAAACCACCAGCTTCTGGATTAGATAATCAAAAAACTGGTAAATTTATATCCAAAACAGAAAATGTACAATCATCATCAACTGCATCAGCAACAAGATCGATTACACCAACAGTAGTAACAACTGGTGGTAGTAGTGATGGTGGTGGTGGTGGTGGTAGTACTGCAGTAACGGTTACACCTAAACAGGAAGGATTTACTGCAGCCGTTGGTGAAGGTATTACTGTTACGGTAAAACAGATAACGAATTAGTCTTATATATGGGGGATGGCATTCAACAACAGACATCATCAAAGACACCTACACACACACACACACATGCACGCACACCCATTATACAAAAAAGCGTATTTTTCTTTACCATTTTCCCTTGGATGTCGCCGTGGCCATTGCCCCAAAAATGATGATTACATTAAAAATTTTTTTCCCCCATTTTTCATTGTTATTAATTTATTTTCTCATGTGTTTTTTTTCAGTATTTCCGGGCAAAGAGAGAGAAAAAGATATAGATTAGAAATGTGAAAAAAATTGATAATAATCAGTTTTTTATCAATCAATTATCATCACATCTTATCTCGATATATTGACTATTGGATTTGAAAATTATCAATCAATAAATGTGTATTTGTGTGTGTGTGTGTGTGTGTGTGTGTGTGTGTGTGTGTGTGTGGTCCTTGTTGTTTCAAAAGTCATATATCCGAAAAAAAAATTGTCTTGATCCAGTTTTTTTTTTTATTATCCTGTTCTTGTTATTTGTTGATTGTTGAATTTGAATTTGAATAATAATGGTCAAATAGTCAAAATTATTCGGATTATAGATATATGAAATGAAATGATGGTAGTAAATATGTTAATCCAATGAAAATGGTGCGAATAATAACAATAAGATTATGATGATGATTACTACACAAACACAGATTTTTTGATTACATTTCAATCAAACACTGTGTTATCATTATATGATTCATACATTTTCATATATCGATTATTATTCAATATGAATCCGGATGCAAATTTGAATGAAAATAATCAGTTCAACAACAACAACGACAACAACAACAACAACAACAACAACAATGCAAAAATAACATGATTATTCTCATTGCAAAAAAAAAATACCGGTAGATAGATTTGTTATTACACAGACACGTGATTGACATTAACATGATCATCATCATTGGTAATCCCGGTTATTAGATAATAATAATGTTATATCTATGTATATTGTGTAATAACTTAATTTAGAATGTCGAAAAAAACAACAACAACAACAACGACATCAACATTTGAATTTGATGGTTTTCCGGTTTTGAATCAATGATTTTTTGTCGTTTTTTATTTCTGCAACATAACAAATAATAATAATAATATATGTTGATCGCGATAATCCAGTATAAATATTGAATCGAATCGATTTGTTGCGGTATTGAAATTGCCCCGAAGAAAAGGAAAAAAAAAAAAAAAAAATGCCACAGTTTTTTTTTGCATCCCTTTTTTCATTTTGTTATGTTGTCCGAGCTTTTTTGTAATGGATCCATCAATCAAAACAACAAAAAAAAACATTCAAATGGAACATTCAAACATTTTAGTTTGTCGACAACAATACAATGAATCAATTTTCTCATTATCATCATCATCATCATCATAGTGATTATGGTGTAATTAATAATCCACAAAAACCAACAACAACAACAACAACAACAAGAATTTAAATCATCGAGTTCATCAGTAGGATATCATGTTTCATTTGACACATGAAATATGCATACAAATCATTACACACACACACACACACAAACGGTCATCATTGCTGCTGCTGCTGTTGCTGCTGTTTTGCAAGTGCCTGGACGTGATTCATAATTAATTTTTTTGTTTTCCATCATTTATTATTCATAATATAAAATGATGATGATGACAAGAACTAATCGTTTTGGATTCTTTCTTGAAAGTTATACGATAAACTGTCTGTACTGTCTGTGTGTGTGTGTGTGTAATAAATGTTTTGACATGAATTAAATGTCAAAAGTGTCACAAAATGTGTGTGTGTGTGTGATATACAGCGTGTTGGATTATCTTTCAAGATGATGATGATGATGATCATGGATTAAGAAGAAGCAAAAAAAAAATTAAATTTTCGAGGTCAATTTGTAAAAAAAAAAAAAAAAAAATTTCTTGAATATTTTTTTTTTTTCATTTTGACATTAAAATTGAATTGTCCCCATCTGTTTTTTTTTTTTTTTTATTTCAACATTTTTGCCTTGAACATCATTTCATGATAATAGATAACTGTGTGATGTGTTAATGAAAATTGTTGTAGAAAAAAATAATGGTTTTTTCTTCACTGTTTCTCACTGTTATTAACTTTTTTGTTTTGATTTCTACGAACGAAAAAAAAAGTGTCATTTAAAAGCGGGCAAAAAAAACTGTCATAGAAATATGAAACAAAAGTCAAAAAAAAAATATTCGTGTCAATTCAGTTCATTTATTTGGGTGATATATTATCATATATTGGCTATATAGATCAATATCATCATCATGGATTCCAAGAAAAAAAAACGAATGGATGGATGAATGAATGAATGAATGAAAAATAAATAAATAAATAAATCTAATCCATTAGCATAAATCAGCATAAGATATGTAACAATGTTATTTCGATTAATTCGATTTCAATAGGAAAATAAAGAAAAAAAAACACACACACACAAAATTACAATGAAGAGAAAGAAAAAAAAACAATGGATCAGATTAGATTAGATTCAATCGATTCAATATTGATGGATGGCCTGTTATTATTGTTGTTGTTGTTGTTGTTTTGTATGTAATAATTTTTTTTTTTTTTTTTTTGATGAAAAGAGGCGCCAAAGGATGTTTACAAGAAAAAAAAATCAAATGAAAATTTGAAACGATTCATAGCCTTAAGTGTTTGTAATCAACGTGTGGTAGGCGGTGATCAACAAATGAGCCATGTCAATGATGATGATGATGATGATGATGATAATTATCGTGCCAAAGATATCCGTATGTATACATGATCACGATGTGTTTTAATCCAACAACGGAAAGAAATGTTTCCCTCTCTCTCTATATAGAGAAAAAAAAACCGTTGGCTATATCAGTATCGGTAATAAGAAAAAAAAAATTTTTTTTTCTTCCATATTTTAATTATTATTGACCGATCGATGTGAGATCCAAAAATCTATCCATTCAATTTTAAGCTAGCCTCCTCTTCCGCTTTATGTATGATGATCATATCAGATTGAATATGGATTGTACAATTTTTTTTTTTGCTAATGAAACTTGATGAACTCACTAGTGGATGGTGTGGTTTTGTCGCCTAAATCTTGACTGTTCTCTCAAATCGGGATATTTTTTTTCTTTTCTTTTTTTTTTGTTTTGTTTTTGTTTTTGTATCTCTTTCTCTATGATGATGGCTGCAGCACGCGTTTTTTTTTTTGTTGATGATATGAACTCTGTTCAACTTATTTCTAGTTTGGTTTTTTCTATTCATTCATTCATTCATCTATTTTTCGGATCATTTTGGAACCATTATGGAACGGTTTTTTTTCCTCTGTATAAGCAAAGAGTCAATGGCTGTAACTGATGGAGAGATATATTTATGTGTGTGTGTGTGTCTAAATTGCTCTCTTTTTTTTCCCTTCCAATATTCATTATTTGATTCATTATTTATCATTCTTATTTTTGTTCACTCTTTGGATCATGTTTTCCACGCTAGTGACAAACAATCTTCACAATTGATGATGATCAACATCATCAAGGATCTCTGGTATATAAAAGGAGCTAGCTACGATCCAGATTGAATCAAACCATCAAATCATCATAGCCATCGTTGTATAAATAGTTTTCATTCAATAAATACATAAAAAAGGTAGTGTAAAGTTTGTTATTTTTTTTTTTTTTTTTTTTGGTTCATCTTGAAGTGTCTATCATCGTTATCATCATCATCATCAGTAAAAATCAATGATCAGAAATCAGTGTTTCATGTTCTGTTCATGTAGATTTTTTTTCTGAAATTTTCATCTTTGATTTTTTTTTTTTTTTTTTTTTTGTCAAAAACTTACTAATCGTGTATTTTGTTATTCTATTCTATTTCTCAACTATTCAAATCCGTGTCAACAACATAATTCATTTAGATTTGGTGATTTGTCGTGGTCACCATTCGAATATTTATTCGTAAATAATCATAATGCTCAAGGTTAGTGGTCATATATCAACATTAAAAAAAAAACATTTACCATTGACCTCGAGATTCTTAATAGTGATTTAAATCTTTTTTTTTCCTATCAATACAGTTTTTCATTTTGTCCACAGCCGTTGTGCTGTGTGGTGCTAGTTATGGTGGCGGTGGCGGTGGTGGTGGATATGGTGGTGGCGGTGGTGGTGGATATGGTGGCGGCGGTGGTGGTGGTTATGGTGGCGGCGGCGGTGGTGGTTATGGTGGCGGCGGCGGTGGTGGAGGTTATGGATCCATCGAAGCTGCTATCTATTCCAATCATAAAGTAGATGTTCTTCCAGTGCCAAGCAAAAAAAGTTATGCTGCGCCCACATATATCGATGTTCCTGGTGGTGCTCTACCTGTTTACATAAACTTTCAATCACAATCATCACCTGTATATGTGAAACAACAACATTACGGAATGAGTGGATCATACCAGAAATCGTATTCATATGATGAGCCACATAAATTGGTACATGAAGTTACTAAACCAATTGTCCAAGAAGTCAGAGAAGTCATTAAACCATACCGTAAAGTTGTTCAAACCATCAAACCAGTACATGAAGAAGTACTCACTTTGGTGCACAAAGGAACCGGATATGGCGATAGTTATGGAGGCGGTGGAGGAGGTGGCTCTTATGGCGGCGGTGGTGGTGGTGGTGGTAAGTTTTTTACAAAATAATCTTTTTTAAAATTTGAAATTGAAAAATAATCTATTTTCAAACAGGTTACGGAGGTGGTGGTGGAGGCGGTAAGTTTTTTGCAAAATGATTTTTTTTTTTAAATTAAAATTTAAAATTAAACAATAATCTCTCTTCAAACAGGTTACGGTGGTGGCGGCGGCGGCGGATATGGTGGTGGTGGCGGCGGCGGTGGTGGATATGGTGGTGGTGGTGGCGGCGGCGGCAAAGGTGGTTACCCAAAACCATACAAAGGTGCCACGTCGATGGCTGGTGGCGGCTACGGTGGTGGCTATTAAAACAAACTGACATCACGATAAACAAAACAAAAACAAAACCAAACAAAAAATATCGGTAATCATTTTTTTATGGTAAAACCAGAATGGAAAGCAAAATGTTCGCTGAATTTTAATCCAAAGATTGACAAAACAAACTTTATATATCTCAAAAATCAAACCAAACATCTCAATTCACGCATACCAAACATACACAGACACACGAACCAAAATATTTCATCAAAATGTCGATCATATTGATGCGCGTTTGGAGAATGAATTTTTTTTTCTACAAATTTTTTTTTCATTCATTCATTCATTCATTCTGTTTTATATCAACACTAAACGACTAAACGTGGTATGTGTGTCAAACAAAAGAAAAAAAAACCAACCGAAATATGTGTTTTCAACAACAACAAAAAACAAAAACAAAAACAAAACAAAACCAGACGAAAAAAAATGACTATTACGCATCGCTAAATATCATCAACATCAACATCATTCAAATAACAACATCCATCCATTTCCGTTTTTTTTTCTTCCTAATCAACTTTTTTTTTCGTCTTCATTTTTTTTTCTTCACCCCTTTCACTTGATTTCTTTTTCTTGTGTTTATTATTTCATTTTCATATATATTATATAATTATTGTTCCAATTCCATTGATATTATTTGTTGTTATTATTATTATTATTATCATTATCATAATTGTGTTTATTAAATAATTATTTCATCCTCATCACAATATATCATTGATTGATTGATTGATTAATTTATTGATTGTATTTCCAATATATAAAAAAATGATTATCGATAATACAAGGTTCATAGTTGAGAAGAAAAAAAATGGAAACATGGCATTTTTGTTGTTGTCGTCGTCGTCGTTTTTGTTTGGTTGGTCTAATTGTTATTAGCTAATGACGTCCGTATATTTTGTTTCCGTTATTGTTTACTATTGACTATTCAAATGGCTCTTCTTCGTTTGTTTTTTAGTCCGATGATTTGTTCATGTTACCACATAAACAAACATTGTTTGTGGTTACAAAACACACACACACACACACACAGTAATGATTTTTTTTTCTGCATAAAAAAAACATTCAAAAGGATGATGTGATTTTGTTTGTGTACACCTGTGATGATGATGATGTGCATATATATACTTTTTAGGTGATGATAGTGGTGGTTTTGGTTTTTGGTTTTGCAAAAAAAAAATTCATTTGTTCAGAAAAAAAAATACAATAAAGAATTGAGAAACAGGATATTAAAAATTATAATTCCAACCATTAAAAAAATTACCGGTCTTTCATTTTTCTCCCTTCGTGAAACATGAGTTGTTGTTGTTTTTTTTTGTATGTTTAAATATGGAAAAAAAGGGTTAATTAGTGATGGTTCATTTTAACTACTTCCCATATGTTTACTTATTACTTTTAATTTTTCCACTGCATACACACAAACACACACACACACACACAGTCCAGTGTTGTTGAACAACATTGCAAGTGGAACAACAACAACAACAACAACAACAAAAATCATCATCAAAGCCTAATTAGAATGAAGGGAGAAACAAAAAAAAAGTTCGATTATAATCAAATTCATTATAATGGTGACTGCTGTTGCTGGGTTGAAAACAAAACAAAATAAAAAAATATGAAACAGTAATACATACACACACACACAGGGAGCGAAATGGGCAAAAACCATTTTTTTTTGTTCCTGGAACAAACACACACACACACATTCACATTGAAAGTGTTGTGTGTTTTTATGGGAATGGTAATAATAATAATTTTTTGTCCAACATTAAATGACCATCTTTTCGTCTATACAACAACAACAAGATGGTTGACCCGTTGCCATTATATTAACATTCAATTAATGAAAACTAAAAAAAAATCACATCATCATTGCCATTAAAATATGTGTATCAAAATGAAAAATTTTGAAATACAAACAGTAAAAAAAAACTTGAATGAACTTTTTTTGTTTCGATTATTAAAATCGATGATGATGACCTTTTTCAGATAAAAAAAACGCATCCTGTATCGATATTGATGTGTTGTTGTAGCTGTGATTTCAAATTGAAAATTTTTTCCTTTTTAATTAAATTAATTTAGATCCAAGTGATGATAATTTCTTAAATTTTTTTTATTATTATTTAATGTTCATTTTCGAAATGAAAATTTTCATTTTTTTTTCTTTGTTCGCTCCAAATTTGTTTTGTTGTTGTTGTTGTTGTGAGAATGCAACAAGTTATTAAGTGTGTGTGTGTGTGTGTGATGTACGACAAGGAATAATTATAGTGAAAGAATGATGATAATAAAAACGAATCAAGTGGGCAATGATTATAACAGATTTATAATTATTGAAAAAGGGTATTGAATGGTGGGTGTGTTTCATGTGAAGTTCTTGATGTGTGTGTGTGTGTGTGTGTGTTTTATTTTATTTTGTTTTGTTTTCATTTCAATTTCTCACTTTTAATGATAAAAACTATATTTTTTCAATGAATTTTGTTTTCAAATAAAATTTTAAATGTGGGAAACTTGTGATGACAAATCAAAGATCATTGTTTTTTAATATATAAGTAGATATTATTAATATAAATAAATATAAATAAATGCAATGGATAGGAAACCAATGAAAAAATATAAGCTATGAAGCTGTCAACGGGGAGACAAAATTTTTATTTGTTGATAAATAAATATATACAATAATAATAAGCTGCTTTTTTTCACGAAGAAAAGAAAGAGACATAGCCGATTTGATTGACTTGATGATGTTAATAATAATAATAATAAGTGGTAATAATAGTATAGTTGCCGGAAATTATGATGGTTGATGATAGAGTGGTAGTGTGGTAAAGAAGAATAAATGAATGAATGAATGAACCAGAATTGAAAGTATCATTATGTATTATCATCTACATATATATGGGAAATAATATTCGACTATAAGGGAATTTGGAATTTTTTTTCATTGAAATTGTCACAGTCCAGATTGAATTATTTTTTTTGAAGTTTGATTAACAGTAATATAATAAACAATTATAATATTAACGAAAAATATCAACGAAAGTGGTGATTTTTTGTTGTTGTTGTTGTTGTTATTAGTGGTGGTGGTGGTGTTGGTGTTGGTGTTAGTTGGATAGACGGAGAAAAAAAATGACAAGGGATTTGAGGTAGATGATCATTGGTGATTGAAAATATTTTGTTTGTTTTTTTTCAATAAATAATTTAGTTTATGTAATAATTGTACATGATTCCGGCAGGCTTTCGGCTAAATATTTCAATAAATCTTTTGTTGCTGCTGGACAATTTGTCAATTCAATCTCTTCCAATTGTCGCATACGTGTTATGAATGACATTCCCGTTATGGTCACATGTGAGCAACCTTTTCGTTTACAATTTATTCATTTTTTTTCCATCATCATCAGAAAGGAACATAGAGAAAAAAAAAAAAATATATAGAAAGGAAGAAAAAAAAAATGGTTATAAATAGATGAAATAAATTTCGATTCAAGATATGATTATCATCATCAACATTGAACAAACCACACAATACCTGCAATAGACAATGTACGTAATGATCGTAATGATGTTAATGCTTGTAGACCAAAATCACGAATCTGTGGACACCAACGAACGGATAAATGTGTTAAATTGGCCATTGTGGCTAGATAACCGAGACCAATATCGGTTACATGAAGACATCTGATAAATGGAGCAAAAAAAAAAAAAAATAAAAAATAAAACAAAAGAAATGCACACAAGTAATCGTTAGTCATTTAGTTTCGTTTGGTGGTGATTTTGGTAGTGGAAAAAACAACTACTAAAAAAAAAAATTCAACAACAACCAACAGAAAAAAAACACATTGAACTGAACTGAATGAGAACAAAAAAAAATCTTTAAAAAAAGCAATCAGGAAGATTATCATCATCAACGTCATAGTCGAGGAAAAAAAAACATCACCAAAAAATAAAACTATCGCCGCCTAATCACCGTGATTATCATCATCATCATCATCATCATCGTAAACACGAGTAATCATCAAAGTCTATGTTTGGGTCTAATCAATCCTTTTTTGATTAATTCATAAATGATGGAAAAAAATCATCACAAACTGTCTGTTTTTTCACTTTTTTTTCGTCATTTATTTATTATTGGAACAACAACAACAACAACAAAAACACCGAAAAAAGATATCCCGAATTGAAAGGATTGAATTTTTTGTTGTTGTTGTTGTTGTTGAATTGATCATCATTATCATCACAATTGTAAACATCCTGTTTCCTTGTTACAATTGTTTGATGATGATGGTACCTAATAAGGTTGTTATGTTGGTCTGATTTTTTGTTGTTGTCGGTGGAAGACTTTTATGAATAATAATTTTTTTAGATTCGAATCAATTTATTATTATTATGGTTATGGTTATGATGTGGTTGATGATAGATATATAATACATTCACATGTCTACGGTTTGGTCCATAAAATTTCGATTTGTCCCTAATGATGATAATGATGATCATGATGGCTAAACATCAAATTTGATGGGTTTGGTCATCATCATCATCATCATTATTATAATACAATTTATCATAATCAATTGTCAAAAAATATCGATTTTCTACATTTTTTTAGTGTTGAAATATAGGAAAAAAAACTTTGCATGTGGAAAAAAACCGTAAATGAACGGAAGAAATGAGAAAAAATTATTTATGCAAATTGATACAGGCCACAAATGAAGCCAAGCCAAGCTGCTATCCACTCATTATCATGGATTGAATGACGGAAAATAAACAGTCGGACAAAGTTGTCAATCGAACATGAGAAAATGATTACGGCTATATAATAATGTTATATATGAATATTTAAACACTATTCGAGGTTAATTGATTTCATTCATCGGCAACAATAACAACAACAACAACAACAAAACATAGAAAAATTATTCACAAATTTTCACAAAACGATTAATGTAAAAACATATAAATATCAAAACATTAGCCCCTTTTGATTATTGTGAAAAATAATGGACCGATCCATTTTTTTTTTAATATCCACAATATATATGAAATAATGGATCAGGTCACCAAAGATGTTTAGATATATACGTATTCTCTGGCTTATAAATTGTTCACATGGTTTAACATTCACACACACAGGGTTTAATCGCGTTTGAGATAAAATCGAAAGCTCGAAAAAAAAACAAATTGCCTTTAGGCAAATCGGAAATCAAATAAAATTAATTCATTCAGTTCAGTTCAGTTCAGTTCATTCATCCAAAATCCAATTCAATTTGTGATGAAAACATTGATGATAAAAAAGACATGCCGTTTAATCTGGTTTCTCTTTTCTATTCACTTCAAAGACAAAACAAAAAAAAAATTAATCTCATTGATTACACATTAGATATTAAACAGGAAATTCAATCAGGATTATGGAAAACTTGGGCAACAAGTAAAATAAAAAAAAAAAGAAATACTGCTATATATTTCATCATCATAAAGCTACAATTAACAGTGACCAATTCGTCTATGTATTTTAGAATTAACAACAACAACAACAACAAAACATATAGAAAAATTATTCACAAATTTTCACAAAACGATTAATGTAAACATATAAATATCAAAACATTAGCCCCTTTTGATTATTGTGAAAAATAATGGACCGATCCAATTTTTTTTTTAATATCCACAATATATATGAAATAATGGATCAGGTCACCAAAGATGTTTAGATATATACGTATTCTCTGGCTTATAAATTGTTCACATGGTTTAACATTCACACTCACACACACAGACACACAGGGTTTAATCGCGTTTGAGATAAAATCGAAAGCTCGAAAAAAAAACAAATTGCCTTTAGGCAAATCGGAAATCAAATAAAATTAATTCATTCATTCAGTTCAGTTCAGTTCATTCATCCAAAATCCAATTCAATTTGTGATGAAAACATTGATGATAAAAAAGACATGCCGTTTAATCTGGTTTCTCTTTTCTATTCACTTCAAAGACAAAACAAAACAAAAAAAAATTAATCTCATTGATTACACATTAGATATGAACAGGAAATTCAATCAGGATTATGGAAAACTTGGGCAACAAGTAAAATAAAAAAAAAAAAAGAAATACTGCTATATATTTCATCATCATAAAGCTACAATTAACAGTGACCAATTCGTCTATGTATTTTAGAATTAATTGTCCGGCCCTTTTAACTTGTTTGAATTTTTCATCATCATCAACAACAATGATATCAGATGAACAAAAATCAAAAAAGGGATATGAATGATTAATTTTATTAATTATCGATTATCAAATTTTTGATTATCAACCAATGGGAATTATCGAGCATCAACATCACAGACATAATACAATTTTTGTTCCTGGATTTTGAAACCAGGACAGTTTATGAAATAATGATAATAAAGACAGACTTAACAGACACTCACACACACACACACACACACACGAACACAATCATCAACGAAAAACATGTCCTTTAGGAAAAATAAAATAATCCTTTCGAAAAGAAAATATTCAGTGCATATATGATATGATTCCACTAGTGAACAACAAAACAGTTATGAATTATCTAATATATCATTGAAATAAGAATTTTCTACTAGCAAAAGAAAATTTTTCTCATATCAAGACATTATTAGTTCATTCATTCATTCATTCATTTAGGCTATTTTTTTCATTTTGTTTCAATAGGATTAATATGATGAAGAAACTTTTTGGAGAAACAAAAATGAAATGAAAACAAAAATCCTACCACCCTATCTATTAAACACTTGAATAGAATTCTTTCCAAATGGATCAATTTTGTCTCATAAGTAAAGGAAAAATCTTAACAACATATGAATTATGCAAGAGTTTTCCAACAAAGAAAAAAAAAACACAAATTTAATTGTTTGGGTGGCAAAAGAAAAAAAAGAAAACCGTGTTTCATTCATCCATAAAAGAAATTCCATCGAATTCATGTTCCACACCCAAAAATGATTAATAATTTGTGCTTCGATCATTTTGTTTGCCCAATGATTTTTGAATCAAACACACCGATCAATCATTGTTTGTGTGTGTGTATTGATGATTCCCAAAAAAAATTTTCATGATGGCGAACAAACATACCTATCCAATACTAATGTTTGTAATGTATCGGCTAGATCACAGGCAATAAATTCCAATGCAGCATCACTTATTCTTGGACACCAACTAAGATCCAATTGTGTTAGATTTCGTAATTGTTCGGCAACAACTTCAATTGCATCATCGGTTACCTAGAAATATATATATATTTATCGATCATTAATTTGAATAAATAAACCAAAAACAAATAAAAACATACTTTAGAACAACCAGATAATGATAATGATGTTAGATTTGGCAATGAATGGGCAACATTAGCAACACCTTGATTAGTTATCTCCCAACAATGTTGTAATGTTAATACACGTAATGATTGTCTCATTAATGATGTACTAAAATATGCCATTGCAATATCGGTTACATGATAAGCCTATAACAAAATAGAAAAAAAAATTTATCAAAAAATCAATTCAAACAAATTACATTTGTATACAAAATTCAAACCTGAAATTGAAATGTTTGTAATGATGTCAATAATTGACATAATATTGTAACCGTATCATCCGAAATATTAATACAATCCTGTATTGTTAATAGACGTAGATTCGGTACAAGACCAGACCAAAGACCCGAATTACTTAGCTCATTGCATCCTGAAACCAATCAGATAAAAAAAAATCAATAAGATACAAGATACAAAATTTTTTTTTATTATAAAATATCGATTACAAACCAATCAATTCGAATGAATTTAATGTTTTGGCAAATGTTGTCAATAAAATTTCCAGACCATTATCGGTAATGGTACCATTACGTATGATAATATGGTTCAAATTTATCGATTGTTTTTCATTTGTATTCGATGATGATGATGATGATGATGATGATGTAGATAAAGATGAATTCATTGGATTCAAATTTAGATTATTATTATTATCTTCATTTGGATGATGAAAATTTTTATAAAAATTAACCAATTCGACTAGATCATTATCACTTGGATTTTGTAGACAAATTGTTTGAAATTGTCGTAATTTTATTGAATAATAAAGCCGTTTACGTTGAGGATTAATCATTTTCGTTGTTGTTGTTGTTGTTGCTACTGTTGTTTTCGTAATTATCATAGAATTATTATCATCATCATCATTGGATTTCGTATCCACCATTTCTGATTGAGAATTATTATTACCATTTTGATCATCAGCATTAATCAATGATGAATAATTCAATAATAAAAATGCATCCGATTTGTTGATGGTGGTGGATTTTTTTCCATTATCATTCATTTTTGTCATTGAATTAACATCAGCAAAACCATTGGTCGTATTTGTTGGACATTTAAATAATTTGGCACTTTGTTCCACATCATCATCATCATTATTATTATTATTCAGCTGTTCTTGTTGTGATTTTTCCATTTGTCTTAATTCACCATAATGAATGGTAAATATTAAATCTTGCCAATAATGGCTATCCATATATAGGATGTGACACCAGGTTTTACATACCTAAAACAAATATATAATAGATTTAAAAACGAAAAAAAAATTAGAAATTGAAATCAATTTATAATTTGGTTCTGAAGAATTTGCAAAAACAAACAAAAACAAACAAAAAGACACACCAAAAAGGCAATAACCAACCAGAATCTAATGCAAATATTTACTGAAAATTAAGATTTAATGCCATAATCATCATCATCATCATAGATAGATAGAAAGATAGAGGAAATAAAAATCCAGAATTAAGAAGATGATTAATCGAACCAAGAATAAAATGAAAACAAAAACTGTCTGCACCAACAAACAAATAATGATCAAAATAGAGCAAAAGAAAAACGTCAATATGATGGATTGTAATAAAAAAGGCAAACACAAATGATAATAATTCAGTGAAACGAAAAGGAATATCAATAAGAGAGAAAAAAAAGTGTTTCATCAATCGTAAAATTTCATATATTAGAATCAACAACATTACCATTATATTATATCTGATAATGATGATCATTAATTCATGATGATGATGATGATGATGATGAAAATCAAATCTTTTCAGATGATGAGCGAAATGATTCACAGTCAAAAAAAAATACATGATAAAATACCTCCCCATTTTGCTAACTTTTTGTTATATTCCAATATTGAATGAATGAATTCATTATCGATTTGATTATCAATGATTTTGTTTTTCTTTTCACTGATTGATTTTGTTATTTATTTATTTATTTATATTTCAAAGCAAACAAGCGAATACGATATTTTTTTTTACAAATGTTTTCTACATGTGAAAACAAAATAGATCAACACAGTTGTCAACTGTCTTCTGATTCTATTGTTGTCAAAGTTTGTTGCTGTGTTTTAGTCTCCGGTTACCATTTTGTCATTTTGTGCAAAAAACAACAACAACAACAACAACAAAACAAAACAAAAAAAAAAATAGAAATTCTGATCCAGAAAAAAATGAAATTGAAATCACATAACACAAGTTCCCAAGTGAATGAATGACTTGAAAAACACACATAACACTGGGAGAAAAAACACTCAGTGTTTTTTTGTTAATAACCGAAACACATCAACAACAACTCAAATGACCAAATGATTATTCCCATGTTCTGTATTTTTGTTTTTTGTATGCCAAAAAAAAAAAAAAAAAATTGTGAAAGCGTTGACAAACAACAAGATGTACCAACTTTAACTTTTCATTTTTTTTTACCCCATTTAATTTCAGATTGGACAAAACAATGGATCAGAATTACATCAACAGCATGAAATGACAAACAACAACAAAATCTATACAGCAGCAGAATGGACAATCAGAATGTTGAGTTTTTTTTCCATCATCGTCATTTTGCTGTCATTTCTTTATGGATTATATAATGTTGTGAAAATACAAAAAAAAGTCAACTTTTTTTTCTGAAGACTAGTGGACTAGTGTTCATTTTTCTGCAGTAATAAAAACATCAATCAATCAGTCATTAGTTGTTTGTTGCAGATATAAAATGATATAATCCAAATGAAATATTCATCGTTGGACAAATTTGGAATTCTATACCATTTTATCGTACTGTTTTTTTATTGAAATTAAATTCCAATTAATCGAATTATTATTGATTTTTTATTGTCCGGGCAACTTGTTGTTGTTGTTGTGTGAATTTTTCTCATTGGGTTTTTATTTTGTTTCTTGGACAATAAAACTATGTTGCTTAGAGGATGTTGATGATGATGATGATGATGACCATTATTCAATTGAATTTCGTAGCCTAGATATTTATGTTATTCAATAGATCTCAACCAATTACACAACTGAAAACAACAACAACAACAACAAAAATTGTATGCTCAGCAAAATCGAATAAAATTATGACCAAAACAAAAAAAAATCGATAGATAAAAAACCTATAGAGAAAACAACAACAACAACAAAAATAGTTGCAAACGAACGAGAGAAAAAAAAAGAGAAAACCTAATTTACATACGATCAAAAATGGAAAAACAATAAATTCTATATAGAATATTCTAGATAGATTCTATAAGGGTAAATAAAATTGAAAAACAATTATTGTTATGCATCATCATCATTGTTTTTGTTGTTGTTGTTGCTGCACGAATTTGTTGTTATTGTTATATAAAACAAATTCGTGCAATGAATATAATCGATTCTTGCAATACAAAACAACAACAACAACAATGGCACATTAAACTTGAAGAATTTCTTTCAATGTCATTCTATAACAACTATATTATAGAATGATGCTTGAAACAATGGAATTTTTTTTTATCTCTGTTATTGTTTTTCTTGTGTTTGGCCATTGTTTGCGTTTGTGTGTGTGTGTGTGTGTGTGTGTGTGTTCAGGAACAAAATGACTTGATTATCATAGATTGACTACTGAGCCAAACAAATAAACAAACAAAAAAACTGAGCAAAAAATTTTTTTTGTTTTGTTTTGTTTTATTTTGTTCCAGAAATAATCAGAATTTTTTTTTCTCTACCTAATTCGCTTTAATACAAGTTGCCCAGAAACAGTTCGAGTGACTGTAGTCAAAAAAAAATTCAAGAATCTATCCGAAATTAATATAATGTTATATTGTCGTGGTATTGCATTCACATTCTTGTGATTAAATCCAGCGTAAAAAAAATCAAAAAAAAAAAGAGAGATTATAGGACTGTGTATGTGTGTCATCGATGATATAAGTGATATATTAAGCTTTTCAAAAAAACTGTATCAGCAACAGAATTTCATTTTGTCGCAAAAAAAAAAAATAGAAAAAAAAATAAAACGCAACAAACATCAATATCAAATGTCGTGCATCTCCAAATTCAATAATCGATAATCGATTCTAAACCATCAATGAAATCAATCATAAATCAATCTAATAATGTATGTAATACAGAAAAAAAAACTAAAAAAAAAGACTATTGAATTATCTGCCGACTGACTGATAGACTACGTGATAAAAACCAGAACGGATATTCTATAAAATGTCAACGAATAGAAAACATGGATCATATTAATGTTAATCAAATTTTTTGTTTTGTTTCTTGTTTGATTCCGATCATTGAAATATAACAAAAACAACAACAACAACAACAAAACAACGCTGATGATTTTCAATAGTAAATTGTTCGATTTGGTTAAACCCCGATTTCAAACAAACATTCAAGGACACTGACACTATATATTGCATTCGGTCACAATTTGTATAGAGGAATTATATTGATGATGATGATGTTCCAACAAAAGATTCATTAGAAATTCTTTTTATGTTTCATCATTATTCTTTGATGATGATGATATTACATGTGAATAATAAATATTATCTGCCAAAGAAAATGGATCAACAACAAAAGAAGAGATTCGAGAAACATCAATTCTTTAAAAAAACTTCTTTTTATCGTCGTCATCATCATTGTTGGTGGGTGCATAATGTTTTTCAATCCCATTGTGTGGTAAAGAATATCTATAGAATCCAACAAGAATCGAAAGAGTCGCTCATTTATCAAAATCGGAATCGACTTCATGAATAACATAATACTTCTATTTCGGAAAAAAAATCTACTTTGAACACACAAAAATAAGTTCGGGCTTTTTTTCACATTGTGTGAAAACCACAATTGCATGAGCAGTAAATGATTTCGATTTTTCTTCTCTATCCAAAAAAAGAGACGTACCTGTGATAAACGACAAAATTCGGCTATCGAATTGTTTGAGGATGATAACGATAAATGATGATAATATTTTGGAAAAAAATGTTTACGTAAAAATTCTACATTTAAAAATAATTCCGATAATGTGGCCGGTTTTCGTAGATTTAATAGGTAATTTTTCAATCGTGCTCTTTGTGTTTTTGGCGGTGCTTTCGGTGGTGGTCCATTACGTGATGGACGTCTTTGTTGTTGTTGTTGTGAAGGAATGTTAGCCGATGATGATGATGCTGTAGACGTCGTTGATTTAATGGCCATCGATGTACCGGATGTCATTAATGTTTGTTGCTGTTGCTGTTGTTGTTGAGATAACGTCATCATAGCAGTATCGGTGAATACCTGACTACTATTATTATTACCCGCCGACTGTTGTGAAGATTTACTGCCTAAATGAGAAAGTAAAAAAAAATTGTGAAATTTACAGAATAAATTTTTATTAGTCAAACTAAAATCATTTACTTTTCAATGGCGATAATAATATTTTTTCACTATTATTTTTAAATACACGAAAAGCACCACCAATAGCTGAACGTGCACCAAATGTGGCTGATGATGATGATGATGATGATGATGTTGTTTTTGCTGTTCATATGAATTTGAAGGCTCTATAATACATCCACCACTATCGGTTGCCGATGATAATGTTGATGATGATGATCCGGAACCGGAATTCAATGTTTGTGTTGTTCCCATTTGTTGTTGTCGTTGTTGTGAATTATTAATATTAATGGCAGCATTTTGTTGTTGTTTTTGTTGCTGTTGTTCTTTCAATGTTGTTGAAGGATTGTTTAGCCGTTGTTCGACTAACGGATGTTGTTGATGATGATGTATTCGATGTTCCTGTGGATGTTGATGATGGTGACGATGATGATGATACTGAAAGACCATTAAAACAACGCGACAATTCAGCTGCTGCACGTTTAGAAAAACTTGATACTTCTGCCGACATACTACCTATAGTTGATAATGTTGATAAACAACGGCTACAACTACCACCACTATTATATTGGCTACGTCTAATGGCACGAAATGCGGCCAACAAACAAGCCGTTGCCGAAGTTGGCTGTGCTTTACTAGATGATGATGATGATGTGGATGATGATGATGTGGATGGTAATGGTGATGATGATGATAATATTGTTGTTGGATTTATTCTATGTGGACACCGTTTTTTTTCAATCAAATCTTTATCCTTGTACGATGATAATAATGTTGTTTTAGTTGTGGGAATCTTTTTGGCAAAATTTTGTTCGTTTTTTTCTGGTTCAATAATTTCTTGAATAAAAATTTCAGATTCAATTGTATCACTATCGTTTTGATCACTATTGATGAACGAATCCAGACCCGAAATTGGTTTATAATTTAATATATCTCTTGTTCAAATTCAAATCAGCAATTCTAAGAAATAGATAAAGAATTGAATTAAAATTCAGACAAATAATAATATAATATCATTGTTATTGTTATTGAAATGAATTAATTTCATCAGATTTTCTTTGCATGCATGTGTGTAAATCGAATGACAATTTGATGAAAAGAAAATAATATTATCATCACTGAATTTGATCAGAATAGTAGAGAAATATTTGGCTGTCAGAATCAATTTTTGATGAAATTCTTGCCTAATAACAATATGACAAAAACATTACACAATATTCGTTGTGTGTGTGTGTGTGTAAGGAATTGCTTTGTCTTCAGTGATTCATCGGTGATATTTCGACATTTTTTTTTCTTTTACATGTCGTATCAGTATAGGGGTAATGGGAACCAAGATTAAATTGCAAATTGTGCTTCTATTCAATCAAATATTAGTAGATGATAATACCAGGATTCCAGAATAATTTCCGTTTCATTGTGATAATATTAATGATGAATTTTTTTTGTTTTCATCACCAACATTCAATTTATTGCCAAAGTTTTGACATATTTCTCTCAATCTCTATCTTTGTTTTTTTTTATTTTGACATTCTTGGTTATATGATATGTACAAATTTCATAACTGATTTCATCATAATAATTAATGTTCCAGCACAGGCAACAGACATTCTTCTCTGTTCCAATTATATTCTCTCTCTCACACACAGACACACACATACATTTTTTTTCATATGATCCAGATTGTCTTAGAATGATGACGTGAGTGAATGATTTTTTTTTTCTCTTCGAAGAAACTCATTATTGTCATTTGAACCAATAAATGAAAATTATAACCGATTAATGATCCACAATTCGAATGAATCATCAATATAAAGTTATGGAAAACACACACACACACACACACACAATGCCTATAGTTCAATGTGAATCAAATACAAAGCTCAGCTGGATAGAATTTCATGAATAAAAATAAAGAATCACGTCTTCTCTTTGAGGTTTTTGGAAGAAGAAAAAAGCATCAACTATTATGAAATGATCTCATGAGATGATAAAGTTTGGATTACATTTTTATTCCCTATTTGAACATGTGATTTCAAAAAGTATAGTGATCATCATCATCATCATCAACAACAACGATTGTGATAAAAAGATGTGTGAGCGAGACAAAAAAAAAATCTGTTCCAATCTGTTTAAATGAAAGGCTCATCACTTCATTAGAACTGATTTTTGTTGGTCTATGTCTATATATATTGATATGTAAATTTTTGAATCACAATCAATTTTTTTTTTTTGGTTGTTGAATCAAATTAAATTTGATTCTGCACACATATTCAATTTTCAATGCAAAATGAGAACGATTCCAACTATTTACAACAGATCAGAGATTCTGAAATTCATAAAAAAAAAATAATAATAATAATAATAATCAAATTGGTGAATTTCAATTCACAAAATCAAATTTTTTTCAACAACAAAAAAAAATGAAAAAGTCAAAGCAATTGATGTGATGATTATGTGTGGTGCCAAAAAAAAAATCAAAATTCAGCTGTAGTTTAAACTATTTTTTAATTTGAATTTTATTAAAAAAAAAAAATTTGTATGATGATAACGAATTCTAGAATCGATGCATCGAAATAAAATGTTTTGAACCAACAAAAATGTTTATGAGCACTATGGCTATTGCCTATCTGTGATGAATCAATGTTTACATATTGGATTGGCTGAAACTTTTATTTTTGATTCTGTTGTTTGAAATATTAGTTCCAAAAAAAAAAAAAAACGAACGGTTGAGAATTTTTTCAATTTTTTTTGTAGAATAAAAAAAAAGTTCCACCATGAATCATAGGTTAAAATGTGTGTGTTTGTTCAGTGGAAAACGAAAAAAAAAACAAAAAACATACATTTCTATTTTGTATTTCATAATGGTTTCATAGTTGGTTGAAAAACTTTTTTTTTCTTCACATCTCTTTACTTTTAATTTCGATTTCATCGCTATATGGGTTCATTGTTTTGTTTTTTGTTTCTTTGATGGGAAACAATGCCCCCAAAAATGCCCTCGTCTTTGATCATAAAGATGATGATGATCACAACATTGAAAAGTTTAGTTTTTTTTCCAATTCGTATAAGTATTATATCTCCACACACTACAGTTTTGTGTTTGTACAAACAAACAAACAAACAAACAAACAAACATGACATTCATATCATGTCAAAATAGCTGTCAAAACATCTTTTGCTATTTGTTGTTGTTGTTGTTGTTGTTGTTGTTGATTTTTGGCCAGACAAATAAATTGAATTTGAACGAACAAATTTTTCAATTTTTTTTTGAATTTTCACGATCGAACAAACAGGAGAAAAAAAAGTCATGACAGTTGACAGATCGAAATTATGAAATTTTTCTCGATTTTGAGACAAATTTCAAGATTTAAGACAGAAAAAAAATTGATCCGAAAAAAATAAACGAGAAAAACAATACTTTTACAATCAACATCGACAATCGACAATCGATCGTTCGAATAATGGCCATGGAAATTTTTTTTTTCACTTTCACGTTAAAATTTTTCTGATCGAATTGGTGTCAATAATCATGAATATTCATGAGATGTAAAAAAAACTGGGTGTCCAATATTTGTGACTTAATTTTCGATTTATGAACAACAACAACAACAACAACAGAAAAACTTTGCTCTTTTCAATCGATCTAATTATTAATTAATTAATTAAACAAAAAACCAACTACCATATGAGTAGGAGGTGGAGGAGGAGGAGAAAAAAAAAATATCGGCTTTTTTTCCCGTGAATCAAATTATCGAAAAATTCATCGAAAGACGAAAAAAACAGAATGTACATTATAGGAATTTTTTTTTTGGTGGTTCAAAATAAAAATTCATTTCATCATTGGACATTAATTATTCACATTTTCACAGTGTATATTAACAACTTGTCATTAAAAATGGTGTGTGTGTGTGTGTGTGCAACAACAACAACAACAACAACGATGTGTTTGCATAAGGATCATCATTTTAACATTCACATTAGCAATGAATGAACCAGAAGAAGAATATTCGACCAAATTAATTGGAAAAAAAAAAAAAAACTAATTATAGATTAATCTATACGAAATGGAAATGGAAAAAAAGAGGAAATGAAATGAAATGAAAAAACAGAATAAAAAAAAATGTTTTAAAAACATGCAATAAGAATCAACCGGAATCATGATCATTATTCTTCTTTATTTCTAATTGTTTGGATTTTTCTCTACTTTATTTTTACACAGAATATTATTCTTAACGAACGAACGAACGAAAAAAAAACATGTCATATCCCCCGAATCGAATGAATAAACACAGACCAGTTACAATGACCGAAAACAGCACACCGTTGAAACAGAACAACAATGAACAACAAAAATAGACAATGAAAACCAAACAACCAACTAACAAGAATAACAACGATGAAAAAAAAACACTGAATCCGAATCTAATCTAATTTATTTGATCTATATTTGGTTCATGGTACATGTGTGTGTGTGTCTGTGTTTGTGTGTGTGTGTGTGTGTGCATGTCCCTCGGTAATATTATCGAAAAACAAATTGTTTCAAAAACATTTCCAACACAAGTTTACTCAGTTATTCTTATTTACCAACAGTTTTTTGTTTCTGATTCTTAAAGGTCTTTTTAGTTCTCAGGAACAAAACACGAACCAATCCACACAAGACAAACACACACCCACACACACACACACATACATACTTAACCTTTTGTGTACGAAGAAAAAAAAACAATTTGAATAAAAAAAAAGCTCAAAGAAAAAAATCCGGAAAAAAACGACGATGATTCCATCCATTTTGTTGCTGTTCCATCCAACAACAAGGACCAAAAAAAAAACTAAAAGCAACAAACTAAATATTACACACACACACACACCATGACAATGGTAGTGTACTAGGAAAAAAAAACCTTTGGCATTTTTTTTACAACTAGGAAACAAGCAAAAAAAAAATTCTGGCCATTTATTTCAATTCATAATAATGTCTAGAATGTGTGGATGTTATTTCATTAAAATGAAATACATAATAAATAACAAAAAATACCAAACAATCAACTACCTACACACACACACAATTCTTTTCTCATCTTCAAATTATTTGCATCATCATCATTATCATTAAGTGTGTGCTGTGATATTGAAATTTTTTTTTCTCTGTTTGAAAAATGAATACAAAATTTTTTTTTTAAATTGTAGATCCCTATCATCATCATCATCATAATAATGTCAGTTGGTTATTTTTCATGTTCACAAATTCATTCGGATTTTTTTTCCCCAAACAATCATAAACAACTGGGATTGTATGAGACCAGATTTTTTTTTCGTTTGTTTGCAGAAGGTAATCAATTTTTTTTCATTCATTTTATACCTGCCATTTTGGTCCGTTGTTAGTGGATCGGTCGTTCCGGTAGCAGTCAACCATTAATATTACCGTTTTATAGGGAAAAAATGCGTCTCAACAAGAATTCTCAAGTTTGAAGCAGAAAAAAAAATCATAGAACAACAGCATCAGAATCTTTTTTTTTTCAATCAAAAAAAAAGAACAAAATCTATAAAAGAATCGAAAAAACGGGCAAAAATGTTAGTTTGTTTGATAATGATGAATGAGGATATATGGGCAGTCAACAACAAACGATGACAACAACAACAACAACAACAAGGGATTCTTTATGTGAAAAATAATGTTTGGATTTTGTTGTTGTTGTTGTTGTTGTTCATTGTGTATGAATCTTTCATTCTTTTTTTTCAATATATCAATAATGTCGATATTTTCAATGTCCATGTTTTTTTTCCATTCCATTATCAATTCAATTTTGAAAATGGAATCATTTTTTTTCTCTCTCTCTCTCTCAATGTTTCGTGACCACAATGGAAACATTATAGATAAATAGAATATTTTTTTTCTCTCTCTATTTCATTGAAAATTCAATCAGAATAAAATAACTTTAAACAAAAATGATAAGAATTTTCGTTTCAAATAAAAAAAAAATAGGTAATATTCGAAAGAATCGATTCAATTTTATTTTACCCCGAAGCAGGAATCGATTTATGAACAAACTTTTTTTTTATTTTCTTTAACAATTATCACTTTGACAAAGAAAAATATAGTGAACATCCGGGACAAGAGAAAAAAAAATCCGACAAACTGACTGACCATTTGAAATGGAAGAAAAAATGTCGATAAATTTTATTTTGACAAAAAAAAACAAGAAATACACTGCCGATGCCGATATAAATTGTTGATGATGGCTATAGCCATTAGTTTAGTTTCATGAAAGTAAATGGTTAAATGTAATGTAATGGTGCAGAAAAACTATCGATAAATGATTAACAGCGAATCAAAAACGAAAACCAAATGTTATTCGATACAAAAAGTCGTTTAAAAAAAAGAATTGAATGGAAAAGGAGATTGACAGTTTGTAATTGGCGGTAGGTGTAATGATAATGATATAATGGGGAAAAACACATTAGCAATGAAATTAGCAACAACAACAACAACAACAACAACAATGAAACTAAATTGGATCATGGAACCGGAAAAATAATGGGAAAGGTATAGAGGAATATAAATGAAAAAAAAACTAGAACCACATCAACTTGTTTTTATTATGAAAAAAGAAAGAATAGAATTTCAATACCATTACCTCATCATCAACATGATGATGATGGCCATTATTTTTATTATTGGAAACAAACGAGAAAAAATTCTTCCTTGGGAATCATCATCGTCATATCACATTCAACATCGTATTGTTCGATTGGTTCAATCATTATTATCATCATCATCATCATCATCAATCGATTTGATTCATTTTGCTAAACTAAACACAACGGTATACAATCAAGGCCGATCACTATAGTTTAGAAAATGAGAAAAAAAATTTTCCCCATATGGCCCACCTTCATAAACACACACACACACACACAGGATGATGAGATGTTGTTGGCGGGGCGGCAGAAAAAAAATTCCAAAAACTCTAAGAATCTTGAAAAACACACAAATGTTTTTGATTTTCTTTTTTTTCTTGGTTGATTACTTCAATCTAATAATCATTAGTGTGTAAGAATTTTTTTTCCGTCATCATCATCTTCATTTCAAACTTTGTAAAACGAGCAAAATTATTATTATTATTATTATTGATTACCAGTCATTGAAAGATGTTGTTGTTGTTGTTATTGTTGCTGTTGCTGGAACAATAGAAATTATTATGATGAAACAGAAACAGAATGTTTCTGGAAATTATTCCCTATAGGCAATCATGTGTGTGTGTGTGTGTAACATTATTCTGGAAATTTGTTTTTCCACTATTTCACAAGTTGAAAATAGGTGAAAAAATCACATGCCATTTTCAATAAAAATGATGCTCTATTTTTGTGTGTTTTTTTTCATTCAAAAATAAAGCTTGAAATTTTTTTCTTCTCAACGTACTTAAAATTATGATCATATTGTGTGATGGCAATAAGATTGTATTTCATTTTGCCAATTTCTTCTCTCTCTCTCTCTCTCTCACACACACACACACGCACACATTGCTTTATTTTCGGTTGAATGAGTTTTTTTTTCTTCGTTTGCAACTTGAGAATTCATGGTGCAAATGTAAAGGTAATTTTCTAACTCGCCAAAATTTAAAAAGTCCAAAATTCAAGTCAAGCACAAAATAAATGTTTGTGACAAAAAATTCTCTATAAATTATTTGGCCGATGAAAATTTCGTATCATATTCTTGGATTGTCTGACATTCGAATTTGTTTTCATTACATTTTTTTTAAAAAAATATAGAATAAAAATAAACGAAAAGAGATGGAAAAAAATTCGTAAAAATTCTAAGAGAAATAAAGATTTAAAAATTTAAATTCAAAAATTCAAAAGTTATTAGATTTCAAGTATGAAAAGGGCTGGCTAATCTAGGGACAATAAACAATCCAGGTTTCAGCATCATAAATTGGAATCAGATGATGGTAATAAAAAAAAATCCCGTCTTTGTAAAGTTAAGCTGTTAAGAAATTTATTTATAAAAAAAACTCGTCCTTCAAACTTTAGAAGAAAAACAATTCTGTCAATTACTGTATACAGTTCATCGGTTGAATGAAAGAGAAATGTGAAACAAAAACCCAAAAACATGGGTTGCACACACACACACACAAAAATACAATTGACAAAAGTCTTCTTCATTCACATTTACAATGATCATCATCAACGATTGATGATGATAATTGAAAACTGTCATTATCATCATCATTGCTACGACGCCATCATCATCATCATCATCATCATGATATCAATAACAGTTGTAAAAAATTCAGAGAAAGAAATTCAATTCAACTATATATCTGACAGCTTAGCTTGTGTGAAAAATCAAAAGAAAATTTAAATTCTTTCAAGTCATCATCATCATCATCATCATCGTGATGATCAAATATCATGATAAAAATAGAATTCAAGTGGAAAAAAAATCTGTCTGATGATGATAATCAAGATCGAGATTAAGATTGGTCGAAAATTACTACCTATATGGTAATGAGATAATCAATGCCTTCTATTTTTCAATCAATCAATCAATCTATGATCGATTTTTTTTTTGTTTTCATTCACCAAAACAACTGACCAAAAGAGTTTATAGTGAATTCCAAAAAAAAGATATTCGAATAATGAATGATTAGGCAAAATACGGTCACTTACCTCTTTTTTGTTATCAAGGATTTTTTTTCTCACTTTTTGAAGTCTGTTCTTTTTTTTTTTTTTTTGATTTCGATTTTGATTTGTTATCAATGGCCTCAAAATGGATCAATGAATTATATGATCATTTATTATGATGATGATGACGATGACATCCTATTCATTTATTAATCAATGTGTTGATAATGTGTGTGTGTGTGTATGAGAGTGGAACAATTTTGTTGTTGTTTTGATTGCTTCTTTTCAGATATGAAATGTTTTTCTTTATATTTTTTTCCAGATAGAAAACAAAAAATAAAAGAGATCATTAATCAATGGAAAATGCAAAAACGAAGAAAAACTTTGATGGATGTAAGTAAGTAAATTGAAAAAAAATAAATTATACAATCCTTAAACAACAACACTTTCACATATATACACACACAGAGTGGTAATGATGAATTCATTCAATGATTCTGGTCACGCACAATGTTTTTTTTCCAAACCACCATCATCATCATCATCATCATTGATAATTCTTTTCATTTGTCGGCATTTTTTTGTTTGTTTGTTTCCTAAGAAAAGAATTATCAAATGTGAAATGATAAAGTATGTGAAGAAATAAGTCAAAATTTACCGGAATCTTGAATATTGAACAAAGGAAAAAATTTCTGGATACCGGTTATGATGAATTAACCAACGAATTGATCTTTTTTTTTTTTTTTTGAATGGAAAGTTGATTTTTTTTTATTTTCAGGATCTATAAAATGAATTGTTTGTTTGTTTTTTTTTCTTTGAACCACAATAATAATGATTTTGTTGTTGTTGTTGATGATGATGATGATGATGACAATGTTTTGATAATTTTATGGCTGAATTTTGCTTGATTTTCGGGTTAGATTTGTTGTTGCCAATAATAATAATAATAATAATATTTATTATTGTTTGATAATAGCTCTGACAATGAAGATGATTGTTTTTATTTTGATTCGAGAGTTTCGTTTGATTTTCGGTTTATTATCATCATCATCATTATTATTATTATTATTATTAAGCCTGGGATGGTAAACAATAACAACTGCGAAATGAAATGAAACGAAACGTAAAAAGCAAAAAAATCAAATAACAGCAAATATTATTGCAGTCGTCGTTGTCGTTGTCGTCGTCTTCAAGACCTCATGGATACACAAATACACAGACAACCAGAAAAAAAATCATATAATGAATATTACACAGGGCGCAAGATTCAATTGATATTTGAGCCAAGCCAGAAAAAAAAACGAAGTCAGATCTTTGTTGTTTGAACATTCGAAAACACACAAACACAAACACACACACACACACACACATACATTTTGGGTTCGTTCAATTTTTTTTTTTGCTTCCTCTGGATGCTACTCCAACAACAAGGATCCACACATCTCAACACATCTCAGAATCTATACAGTTACATTGATTGTTATGTTTGTGAAAATAATGATGAAAAAAAAAGAAAAGAAAAACCGGATTCAAACTATACAGATTATATCATATTATTATATAAAATATACAATGAAAAATAACGGGACACCATCATGTATACATCATCATATTCGCTTGTATATTATATATTTTGACTCAAATTGGGTCGAATATATACACTACCCTCTCCTCGTTAACCACTACCTTTTTTTTTATTTCGTGTATATGTGTGGATTTATACCAGTTTTTTTTATTATTCTATTAACATGAAATCTGACCACTACCATCCAAATAGTTGGTATGGAACCACTACAGACAGACAGACAGACAGACAGACATATTTTATAATAATATAATGATGAGAGAATAAAACACACCCTCCAAAAAAAAAAAAGATTCTTGACAGTTGTTATTATTATTAAATGATGAAACGAAACATAACGAACGAAAAAAAAAAAATTTAATGGATCGATCCAAATCCATTTTTTTTTCGGGCAAATTGGACGATATTTTTTTTTCGTTTGATGAAATTGTTTGTTATCATCATCATCATTATTATTATGGAAACATCAATAATGAGGAGGAGCTAAAATATTATTATAAACAATAAGCAGCTGTCAATTTTTTTTCTGTTTTTTTTTTGTTGCGGCCACATTTGGAATTTATGCAATTTGCAATTTTGTTTTTCATCATCATTGATTCATACAATGTCAAGAATGTAAATTATTTTCAATTTTTTTTTCTCTTGGTTTCGAGTGTGTGGGTGTTTCCTGGCCTAATTTTCTCCGTTGTTGTTTGGTTCATTTTGCCGGCATTTTTATTATTATTATTATTATTCGCTGGTTGTCAAGGTTTTCTATTTTTTTCTATTTTTTTTGTTGTTTTGGTTGTTTATTCCGGTTTCAAATCATTGTTTTTTGTTGTTGTTGTTGTTGTTGTTGTCCGTTGTCAAGTCAATGATTAATATGTAACGATGATGATGGTGATAATAATGATCTGTAGTGGAATATATATAGTTTCTTTGTTCGTAAAGAGGAAAAAAATTTATTTTCAAAATTTAAAAAAAAATGGATGGATGGATCATAAATGGAAACAAATGTTTCATGTGTAATTTGATTTGATTTGGTTCTATAAATAACCGGAAGTTTTCATTTAATTTTAAATTCAAAAAAAATTCAATTACTTTCCAGCGATTATAAACATCAGCAGCAGCAACAACAACAACAACCGAAAGACTAATGTAATGCGATAAACTTTACTTTACAAAATAAAAAATTCAAAGGTTCATTTCAAATTCCAAATTCTTCATAGCATTAGAATATGGACTGGCAGTGTGTGTGTGTTCTCCTTCACAATTCATTCACGAACCAAATGGCAAAGAATTCTTGAATTTGTCTTTGTCATTGAACATTAAAGATTTTTTTTTTACTTTTTCCTCAAAAACATACATATATGTTGCTGTTGTTGTTTTTTTTCTGGTCATGTTTTTTTGTTGTTGTTGTTGTTTGGATGATCCATCATTTTGTATCCAAACATAAAACACACATACACCAACGCATACAACAGAAAGAAACAAATTTCAAATTTCGATTCTTTTTTTCCTCTATCCATTTAGAATTAATGATAAAGAAGAAAAAAATAAGAAAAAAAAACATTACAAGAATTTTACATCAAGAATTATCACAAGTCCACAACATTGACATCGACAATGACAACGACAACGACAACAGAATTTGGATTCTAATGTCTTTTTATTCACGCACACACACACACTGAAATGGGTGTGTTTGCCTTGGACCAAATCAAGACTGGATTTGATTTTTTTTCCTTGTAGTTTTTTTTTTTTGCTTTGGTCATTTATACACCTGGAAATTCAGTGAAAACATTTGGCTTTTTTTTCATCTCTTCTCATCGGTGTGTGTGTGTGTGTGTGTGTTTGCATTGCGTGTATGTATCGATTTCAGGAAAGTTTCTCCGGTAGAATTATCATCATCAAATATAATAATCATGAAGTTTTTTTTCCACCACCACCACCACCACAATCACCACCAACGATAATGACGACGACGACGGCAATCAAAATATTTGATTAGATGAAACTATGGTCCTAGTCGTCGTCGTCGTCGTTGGCGTTGGTTGCTATGTTGTAATAAATGATTGAACAAAAAAAAAGCTTACAAATGATGATAAGGATCAATGTTTATCATCATCATCATCATCATCAGCAGCAGCAGCAGCATTATGATTATGATAATGATCATTATTATCATCATCATATGATTTTTTTTTCTCAACAAAAAAAAGTTTATCGACATTTGGACACCAACAATAATAAATCTCCATTAATGAACAGAATTTTTTTTTCTCTGTTTTCTTTGAATGAATATTCTTCAATAATAAAAAAAATTTCAATACACAAGGTCACAGGACATGAATTCGATCAATCAATCGATTTTTTTTCTGCTTGTTTTTATTATAAGGCCTTTCCACTAGGAAAGTTCTATTCATTTCTATTATAACAATCGTGAACTGTCAAAATAGCCACACTCAAAATTAATTTCAAGCTGTTTTTCACATGAATTTCCGCCGGATATTGCCATCATTTTGACAATCTTTTCTATCGAATAATAATAATAATAAATCAGACACATACAGTATGAAGTATAAATAAATCCATTGATTATATATTGGCTATTAAAGTGAAAAATATCGATACAATATCGATTTCCATTGTCTTTCTTGTCTGTGTGTGTGTGTGTGAATTTATTGGAATTTAAAATTTACGAAGCTAAAAAAAATGAAACAAAAAATTGACCTCTCATCGAACACAGCCAATCATTGTGTGTGTGCATGTGAATTTATTAGCGAATCAAAAAAAAAAACTAACACCATCCAAGCGATGACATTTAATTTTACAAAATAACAAATATGATGATAAATATGCACTCAACATTTTCTCTTCTTCGTAGCGCATATTTGTATGCTTTTTTTTCTGTTTTGAAACATGATTTCAGATGCTGCAACCAATGGCGTACTCGGCGTTCAGCGGATTTTAAATTCTTTTCTCTCGTTCGAATCACAACAGCGATTCTCAAACTGTTTTGTCACGAAATGTCATGTTCGATTCGGGTCGACCACCATTGTAAATATCGACCATCTTACACACATCGTATTCGATAGGTAGCAACAAAGCCCCGAACTTTCGAGATTGATCAATAATGAGGCAATGTTATACCTTTTGTCACCAAATGTTGTGCGATAATTGTCGAGCTTGGAGGCAATTCGCGGGCAGAGAACCTTCAAATTTTACAGTATCAAATTCACCGTAAGGCTCCCATCCAGGATTTCGCTCCTGGATTTTGATACTTGATCAATTCGGCAATCATTTGCTTTGGTGTCGAACATTCCATAATAATGCTTTCGAATTCATCTGCAGGTAATCGATAGTCGTATTATGTTTTGTGGCCTTTGCTATCTGACTCTGCCGCTTTTTCGTTATGGGCACGTTTGCTTTTCACCACGATTTCATATTTGATAATGTAACGAATTACGTCCAAATTCAAATTAGCTTCCGAATTCCATCAAAATGTGTAACATGCCACTGTCGATGCGGCGTGAAACTTCACTTGGTTTGAGGGTCAACACGATGCTCTGATTCTTTTCAGACATTTTGCCCAAAACTTCTAACAATATTACGGTCGAACACAAGATGATTATACAGATGGGGATTAAACACAAAATCGCATGTCTATTCGGTTATTAGGATTAGGAAAAAAAATTCATTTGTTTGTTTTTCATGTTTCTAAACTACTGGTTTTTTTTTCCATCATCATCAAAATGATTTTGGTGATTAACATCAATATTTTATGACATAATGATCTATATGTGAATGCGTGTGTGTGGGCAGATGATGAAAACAAAACAAAACAAAAAATCAGATGCCATTTCACGTTAAAATCTAATCCATATTGGAGAAAATAATAATAATATGATGATGATGATGACGACGACGATGATAATGGCAAATTATTTTTTCTCTGTGAATGTAATTTGGATTTTTTTTCCATGGAATTAAATCCTGAAAAAAGCAAATTGAATAGACCAGACATGAATATATATATATATAGAGCAGAACATTTGGTCAATTTATAAATGGTAAACTTTTGGTTTTCGTTTCAGGTTTTCTACATATTTATATTCACTGCGACGTCATTGTGACATTTACATTCTCTTTAGAATTCAAAGCGGTAAAAGAAAGTAAAAAAAAAATTATCACAAATGTGTCAGTCAAATAATCAGCAATAATGGAAAAGAAAAATC